ACCTCATTTCTTCAACCAAAAAGGCAACTGAACATTTCAACATCCTTGATTATCTGCTGAGATTGGCAAAGGCCTTGCAGAAATAAGACATTCTCTCTGAAGGCTTCTTTCATTTGGAGCATGAATTCTCCCTTCTTTTCCCCTTATTTGAAATAGTCTGACTCTACTAAAGGAGGTTAGCATCTACTTAGGGGGACTTATCTTCTAATAGATGTTTTAATAGCCAGAAACTTCCAAAGAATGATGATCAAAAGATAAACTGGTAGTTCTAGTTAGTTTCTATGCTGTATCTTTTGTTTACTTCTAATTACTAGATTTGGAGGATTTGTTGGTAAGCCCTATGTTTGTAGTGGCCAGAAGTTTAGGGAAATAGTGAATAAATTTTAGGTACTTCACAGTTCTTTTCATTTTATTGATATAGGTTTTTTCTGTTGAGGAATGAGGGCGAAGTATGCAAGCTGACTGCAGAAAATAACAAAGAAAGTGTGCATGCTATTTTCAGAAATAAAAGTAAGTGTGAATATTCCTTTGGAGGGGAAAAAAGGAGAGGAAGAATAAAAAGAAAGATTTGGGACAAGAAAGAGTAAGACAGAAGGGCTGAAAGGGCTCGAGTCATGGGATAGACTACAAAGAGGGAAGGAGGAAGGAGCGGTTGGGCAGTGTGAGGTGCTGATGAGGAGCAGGGGCAGGCAGCCATTAATTAAATTCTGCTTTATCACCTATTCTTGCCAGAACTGTGTAGGTGGAAACTGGAATAATCCTAGCATTGCAGGCTGCCCCAGAGAGCTGAACTGAAAGCCAGACAGTCCATACATCTGCTTTGACTTTCATGTTTAAAGGAATCGTAAGGTCCTCCACTGCTCTACAGGGCACTCCCCTCCCCTTGCCTGTGTTACATGCTGAAAGCCCTCATTCTTCGAAGCTGTCTGTGTCCCTCAGCCTGCACTTCTACATAAAGCCAAATTTGGGGTCGGTTCTGTTTACTTTTCCTTCCCCTTACATGTGATTTGAGTTGTCCTGCCAATCACCGTGTATGGGACAGGATCAGGGGCTTGTCCCTTGGCAGGCAAGGGATACTGCAGAACTTGTTGCTGCACATGTCAGCATGGATCCGCAGAGTCTAAACGAAGGGATCTGAGCCCTGCTACTCGTCCTATTAAGACTGCAATTGTGTGTGAAGAGGAAGTAGGATGGGAATGACAGTTAAAGGGAAAAAAAACCTTAAGAAGTGAAAAGCTAAGACATATGCAACTCCTACTGGAACAGGGAAGCTGATCAGAGGTTTGAAGGCAAGACTACTTTGGTATGGCCTTCCGACCACTCTCCATCATCTATCAGCAGTCCTGGTTAACGGGGGAGGTCCTGGATGACTGGAGGCTGGCCAATGTGACGCCCATCTACAAGAAGGGCCGGAAGGAGGATCCGGGGAACTACCTGACCTCGGTGCCGGGGAAGATTACGGAGCAGTTCATCTTGAGGGCGCTCACAAGGCATGTGCGGGACAACCAGGGCATCAGGCCCAGCCAGCACGGGTTTATGGAAGGCAGGTCCTGCTTGACCAACCTGATCTCCTTCTATGACCAGGTGACCCGCCTAGTGGACAAGGGAAAGGCTGTGGATGTGGTCTACCTGGACTTCAGTAAGGCCTTTGACACCGTCTCCCACAGCATTCTCCTGGAGAAGCTGGCGGCTCA